GGACTCAATTTGCATTATTTCTGGCAGTCTGCAAAGGCCCTATGTAAGAGTGTATCTTTTGAGGTTAAATGCATAAGTGGATAAGTAGTGAAGATGCAGAGAGTTTTAAAGAATGTCTCGGGAGTTCAAATGTCTACATCAGGGGTAGGCAACCTTTCCCCTTTAAGGGCCGAGAGACTTCAGCTCCCAGAAGCCTCAGCCATGTTGGCCAATAGTCCCATGTTGGCCAATAGTGCCTGGGATTCTGGGAGCTGAAGTCCCTCACCCCTTAAAGGGGAAAGGTTGCCTACCCCTTGTCTACATGTTTGTGCACATGTACTATCCCCTTTACTCAAAGCTTGAATGTTCATGTTCAGCACAGAAAGTGCAAATTCTTTTGCAGAAGAGAAATAGTCACAAACCCACAGAAATAACTCAAGCTGCAGTTGGAACTTTTGGCTGGCCAAGTACACAGCATCAAGTACACAGCACAGTTTTGTGGACTTTGGATTTTGTTGTATTTTTCTGTATGGCTAACACGGCTACCCCTGACCATGTTTCCTGATTTTCGAGATACCAAATTTAGCTGCAGCAGGGGAATTTTAGAGCTATTGTGTTGTAGTGGTTTGAATGTTGGCCTATGACTCTGGAGACCAGAGTTTGATTCCCAGCTTGACCATGAAACCCACTGGTTGACCTTGGGCAAGTCACAGGCTCAGCCTTAGTTGAAGGCAATGGCAAACCCCCTCTGAACAAATCCTGCCAAGAAAACCCCATGAGAGGCTCACCTTAGGGTTGCCATAAATTGGAAATGACTTGAAGGCACACACTGACAACAACAAAGGGAGTCCTAAACAAGAGGAAGCCAAAGAACTGGGGCTCCTTAAGGTTTCTATCTGCAACAAAGATAAAACTCTTCCATTAGGACTAATATTGGCTAGTTTTACCTACAGAGCACCTAAACATTTTCCCAGATGAAACAATACCTTGGTTTATATAAAAAATAAATGTTCTCTGCCTAAGAAAGGTGCTGGCTAAAATATTTTTTCTGTTGCTGAGTTAAAATTTGATTACCTTACTGCTATTTGTTTCCTAGCTCCTACAAAGCCAAAATTAGGGGTAAAGCCACTGGCTGCTTGGATATCTCTTTAAATCATCTTTACTGACAACAGAAGTAACATATTAAGACAAGGCTTGTGACTCTAGCATCATCATTTTTCTTCTGTATGATTTTTAACACCTTTGTCTGATGAAGATGTCAGTGGAGCTTCAAAAGGTTGTATGAGGTATTTTGTGTTTTTTTAGTTGTCATAATAAATATCACTGTTTTGTGGATTTTGCAATTTGTTATATTTAGCATTGGAAAAAGGATCCAGTCTGAGTGGAATTATCTATGTTTGTTTTTCCATAGTAAATAATTCACTGAACCGTTGTTCTCGAAGTCCATAAGCATATTCACATGGCATTATTTTGAAGCTTCTAATGTACTTGTGCCTTTTCAGTCTGTTTTACCGTCATGATTAGTGTTAGCACTTGTGGGCCACATTGCCCATGGCATTAGTAATATTAATTAAATCTTACCCTCTCTTCCCACTTTTGTCTATGGCGCAGATGGATATATAGGCACGGTCTAACAAAAGTGCCATTTCATAGGTAGGAACAGTGCTCCATCATCATCATCATCATCATCATTATCATTATCATCATCAGAACCTCCAACATCAGCACCTCTACCACCACCACCATTATTCCCTTCAGATAAAAAGAAACATGTAAAGATATAGCTATGGAGTGGACAAAATGACGGAATTATCCCACAGATATGGATTCTGCCCCCTTCATGAAATTTTCCTTCAGCCCCCAAACTTTTAGCACTGCATAGAGTGAGACACTAAAAATGGTTTTCACTGAGAACTCTTATATTTGCTCTTCTTGTAGTGTTTCCTGGCCCTTTTCTTTGGATGCCTGAAATGTACTTCTAAATGCTCAACTGAAGTGTTACCTTACAGCAATGTTAGAAATTTGGGCTCTGGAGGAAAATTTCATTGGAAGAAAGAAATATTAGCTAACTGCATTCCTAGCTGATCCATGGTAAACATAATGATAGAAGAAGGAATTCTCATACTGTTGCTACTGTAAATAGTAGTATGCAAATAAAACAATGAAGAGCAACAATGGCCATGCTGGCTGGGGGATTCTCAGAGTCACAGTAAAAAAATAAAATAAAAGGTTCTCACATGATTGAGGACTTCTCTGCAGTCATAAGATATTCTGCTCTTTTCTCTCATATTCACTAAAAATGTAATTCCTGATAGCAGGTATATTTTGTTGATGTATGGTGGAAGGCATATTTATTGAAACAATGTCTAACAGTGTCAAACAAGTATGTGATGGTTTGTATCTTTCCTATTTTTTGCATCTTAACCTTCCAATAGCTATTCCCCAGAAACAGTGCTACGCAAAGTCTGCAACAGAAAAAAGTAACATTTTATGCATTCATATGGATTGGGTGAACTGATTAAAAAACTAAAATTGATTTAAAAATTTGGTAAATGGGAGCTGTGAATTGCTGCCATTGCTGCTGTGTGACTTCAATTCATATCTGACTTTTGGAGAACTACCACAAGGGTTTCTTCGTAAGATTTATTCGGGGGTGGGTGGGTTCCCATGTACTCCTCTGAGGCTGAGAGAGGGTGACTTACCCATGATCACCAAGAGGGTTTCTAGGGTTGATTGACTATCCTAGTCCAACAGTCAAACCGCTGCATGTTGGCTTTTGATGATGATGTGAGTGTTGTGTGCCTTCAAGTCATTTCTAAATTACAGCAATCCTAAAATGAACCTATTATGAGATTTTCTGAGCAAGATTTATTCAGAAGAAGTTTGCCATTGCCTTCCTCTGAGACTTGCATGTGAGACTTGCCAAAGGTCACCTAGTGGGTTTTATGGCCAAGCAGGGGATTAAACCCTGGTCTCCAGAGTTGTAGTCCAACACTCAAACCATTGTGCCACATACCCAAGTGTAAATGAGCCACGTGCAGATTGTTCTCATGGTTTTTGTTCTCTTCCTGTGAAAGTTCATGTGTACACATCAGTCCAGTATGTGTTGAAAGGTTTAAGATAGGTTCTCTCCACTGTTAGCCCAAATCTATGCCTCTTGCTAAGGCAAGGGCATATTTGCTTAGCCCTTCAGGACCAGAGTGTCTGAAGGGCAGGGAGAAGAAGCCAGCATGGGTAAGCCACTGCAGATAATTTCCTTTCAGCTCAAACAATATCTCCTATATCTTCATTCTGAAGTCTGGGGGGAAAGGGACATGTTGTTGCACACCAGTTGAAAAGGCAGCAAAATACAATTGTGAGTTTTCCCCTCATTTTTCCTCTTCTCAAACAGACCAGCATGTGGTCAGGCCTCTTACTAATAAAAAGCAAGCTTATGCTGGTCAGACAAAGAATGAAAAGGAAGCTGCCCTCTGGGTTACTATTTTATCAAAGGTTGATTTAACCATCTCAAATTCAAGCAATGTTTCTTCAGAGCATTGTGTTTCGAGATTAGATTAAACACTTAATCTTGTTTTCAAGGTCAAGCAGGGTTTGATTAAGTTTTCTGGTTCAACTCTATGAGATTAAAACCCACTACTGCTCCTTTCATCCCAGTTCAGGACAGATTTGTCCATATCTCTTTGCTCATAGAGTGTTTCTGATGGAGTGCTTTGAAAACAAGAACTGTGGACAACATCCTCTTATTAGAATCAGGTCTGTGCTCTTAATTTTGCCCTAGAAAATGTTTAAAATTGTAACTATTTTCTTATCAATGTATGGAAAACATTTATTCAGAAGAAATATATTTTTATTTATTTCTGTTTAATTTGTGACTTTTCAATTGTATAATCCTAAAAAATGCCCAGTCAGAAATAAATGCCATCGTATTCAGCTGGGTTTGCTCCAAGAAAGTAGTAGTACATAGGACTGCAGCTCAATTTTGGTTAGGATCCAAAGAACTGTGCAACTGGTTTCACACAGCCCAAGAACCTTTGGGCTTGAGTTTATTGTTTATTTGTTTATTTTATTTTATTAATACTCTGTCTTTCTCAGGCTAATAGTAGAGGCTAATAATAAACAAGTTTTAAAAACAAATAAATAACCCAATTAAAAATACTAATTATACTAATTGCTGAAGTGGTGTCATTTCTGGTTTCTTATTTTTACTGACAAAAGTACTTTTCAGACATAAATTGTGTGGATGATCAAATTGTAACTTTGAATTTGGGGAATTTTAATTAATGGACCAAGTTACAAGTAGTCCCTTGAGATTGTTCCCATCTGTATACTGAGGTGGGGAAAACAGAAAGTTAACAAAGGCAGAATTCTCCTTATAATGTGTATTTTATTTAGGGGAAACACACATCAAAGCAAAGCAAAGCAAAGCAGCTTCATTTATATACCGCTTCATATCATGCTATGGGATGTCTAAGCAGTTTACAACTATAAGCTCATTGCCCCCCAACAGTTGGGTACTCATTTTAGCGACCTCGGAAGGATGCAGGCCTGAGCCTAGCCTGAGCCCTGGCTGGTATTGAACTTGCAACCTTGTGGTTTGTGAGTGAGTGGCTGCAGGACAGGCATTTAACCACTGCGCCACCAAAGACAACCACGCACTCACATATAGACACAAGAGCTCAGGAATAAAGAGGTAAGCATTGGAATAGAACAAGAGACTTCACTACGGGCGATACTTACTATTGACAGGGTTGCTCCAATGGGTCCAATTGTGATGGTATGGCATGGGACTCAGCCACTCTGGGAGTGCTGGGTGAGACAGTACAGGTCAGAACTAGTCAGAATTCAGAGTGATGTAGTGTCACCATGCATTCCATCTAGCCTGAGGAAACAAAGGAAATCTAGGTCTTTATATACACCAAAACTAGCCTGAGGCAAAGATACATCAAAGAGCCAAATCTGCATAGGAAAGGGATCACTCAAGATGTAGGTATCAAAGGTGAGAATGGGTTATAAATGGCAGTCTCTGGCTTGGCTGCAAAACATCCTGCCTGTGTAAATCACTTAGCCTTCCTGTCTCAGAAGTGTGAATTCCCTTATCAGCAACTTCCAAACTGTCTGATTGATCTGCATTTTGGGTGTAGTGAGTATGTGATCCATTGCCTTTGGGATCATGGCTGCTTACAATCCAAAGTTCACCCAGGGTCATAGGAAGGAGCCCATACCCCAAAATTGGAAGACTTTCAGTACTTGTAACAAAATGCATGGAAGCAGAGGGTTATTGGGGTTTTTTAATGCTTGTCTTTTATTTACAAATGTTACAGTTTAACCATCATGGGAGGCACAGCTTAAGCCAGAAGTGGGCAAAGATCATGGAACCAGGGCCATTTTCCTGCCCCCCTTGTTCAGCCTATGCACAATAAAATGCAAAGGCTTCTGGTACAGTAAAATAATCTTTTTTGAGGTAAAACAAGATGTGTGTGCAGGAAACAACCTCTTTTTTTTAAAAAAAAGAAAAAAGTTTACTGCAATCAAAACACAATTAGAGCATTACAGTTGGAGAAATATTAAACAAGAGAAGGAACAGACCTTCTGCTTTGTCAATAAAATTAATACTGTATTATATATGGGTGTGGTTCAGTCATGCTCCTGTGCATATGAAACTTGATGAGCCAGGATCAAACAGTTGAGTAAAAATGTATGAGGCAGTCATAGCTTCTATTTCAGTTGAGTCATGATGAAGCTGCTGTATAGATGCTTGCATCAGGTGAAGTAGACTGTACAAAAGCTTTTGCTGCAAACTTTGCTCTTTCAGTTAGTCTTAAAGATACCATAAGATTCTTTTATCCAACAGTGTCCTTTTCTTGGGATATTGACACTCCTAGTAAAGATGTCTGAGAAGAAGACTCAAAGATGCTACAAGATCCTTTTCTATACTGATACAGACTAACATGGCTATGTCTTTGAGTATTCCTGCTCTTGGATAAATAGTGAAAATCACTGACTGACACACAGTTGTTGGACCCTTTTATAAAAATGTGAAATTATTAATCTACAAGGCTTGCCAAATTCTGTTTAATTGATCATTCTTCTATTGTAGGTAAGATATATAGAGAGATGTTCATAATTCTTACACACTGCAACACCACTTTCATACTCTCACTAAACTGTTCAATGAAAGTAATAAAATAAATACACCTTCGCTGCAGTGCACTCCTCTGCATTCACTTTTGAGACTAGAAGTTTTGGGACTATCAAATATCAGTCAGAACACTTGGGACAATTGTGCTATAATACTAGATGTGATTTATCCAATTCAGTCAATGGATCTTCATGGCAAAATGGGGACTTCAACCTTGGTCTTCTGGAGTCTAATCCAACACTCAAAGCACTACACTACACTGACTCTCAAATTTAAGACTAAGAGTGGCTTTTTGATGGTGCCCATGTCAGATAGATATCTTCTCCAGCACAGAGATACAATTACAATGCCGATAGTCTTAAATAATTTCCAGTGTTCATAGTTTAGGAGAGTTCTGGATTCAGCAGAGCATCAGCTGGCCTAGTGTTGACTCAGCTGGTCCTTTTCCATCTTGGCACTATAAGTTTGCGGAAAGGTACCCATCTATCCCCATTGCTCAGTATCCTTGCACCATAGTACAGCGGAGGATCTCTCAACCTTTTCTCACTCTCTTCTGGATTTCTTGTAAATTATTCAATGGATTACAGTCTGCTTATATTACAGTACCTGCGTATTGATTGACATAGGTAATCAGAAGAAAAAGAGGAAAATTAATAAAACATTCATAAAATGTTCATTCATTGAGAGGCTGGGAGAGTGTGTTAATGCAAGGAAGAAGCTTTCATAGTTGTTAGTAAAAAGACCCCCTCCCCTACACATGCATTATTTTTGGATTTTACCTTTATTTTATATAATCCTTACTCAAGTGCACTTAACCTGCACCATGGAAGTCAAAGAGATGGTTGTTACTCTTGTGAGTACTGTTACTCCAGTACTCACAGAGCCCTTGTCATGCTGATTCTCCTACAAGGTTTATTGGGATTCATTGTCAGAATCATATTTATATGCAGTCATATTTATACCCCAAATTTGTTGGCTAAAGCTATTTCCCTTTCTCCTCCCTTAGACAGTTTATCATTCCTCCATGCTGCAAAGATTTCTTAGTTCTTATATCACCTTCAGGAAGGGTAGAGGAAAGATTTTAATCAAATGCTCATACCTCATTCAGACATGTTCTCCACACTTGCACAAATAAAAAACAAAAAAACAACCCACAAAAATCCTTACACATCCCTATAGGATGTGTGGTTTGATGTGCCACTTGCTATACACAACAGATCAAGTACTGCAAATATCTAGGTGTATTTTATAGTGTCCATTTTATTTTCATATTTACTTTTATTTGCTTATTGCTCCTACTTATTCCTGAAGTCGCTTATATGTCAATTTTATTGATTCAATGCTTTTCAGTTTATTTGGTAAATGTATAAAGCCAAGCGACCATCACTTAACTGGAAAGCTGTGTCTTTCTCCAATGCATCAGCAGAACAAACTAAATGATGCATTCATTTTATAATTACGTATATACTACTAATATGCTTTAGATTTTCAAATGGTATGTGAAAATGACAGATGATGAGCCATCCCATGACCAGAATGTCCTGCTTATGAGCTTCCCAGAGGCATTTATTTCCTTGTTTTAGGAAGACTCAGGTTGCAGTGTTTGTTCACTATGCCATCTGTTGCATTTTTTCTAGGATGGCAGAGTAGTGGCAAGGAATGACAGACAAAATACATCTGCTAGCTTTAAGTAGATAGTTTCTTCAATGCTGTATTTCCTCTGTGGACTTTTTTCTTTTGATACCATGGTCTACACAAGCATAGT